GCTTGCATTTCTGGAAGTTCTCTGTCAATATATTGCTATAACCATTTCTGAATTATCTTCATTAAGATTTTACTTGCATGTAGTATTAATGATATTGTTTGATAATTTCCAAATTCTGTGAGATCACTTTTCTTTGGAATGGGTACAAATATGGATCTCTTCCGGTCAGCTGGCCAGGTAGCCGTCTTCCAAATCTCTTGGCATAACCGAGTGAGTGCCTCCAGTGGGGCATCCATTTGTTGAAACATCTCAATGGGTATTCCGTCAATTCCTGGAGCCTTGTTCTTTGCCAATTCCTTCAGTGCAGGTTCAACTTCTTCCTTCAATACCATTGGTTCTTGATCATATGCCACCTCCTGAAATGGGTGAAGATTAACCAGGATGAAGATTTTTGGCACAATGACTCTGTGTTTTCCTTCCATCTTCTTTTAAGACTTCCCGCATCATTCAACATTTTGTCCATAGACTCTTTCAATATTGCAACATGATGCTTAAATTTTTTTCCTCAATTCTTTCAGCTTGAGAAATGCCGAGCGTGTTCTTCCCTTTTGGTTTTCTAACTCCAGGTCTTTGCACATTTCATTATAGTAATTGGCTTTGTCTGCTTGAGCTGCTCTTTGAAATCTGTTCAGCTCTTTTATCTTGTCATTTCTTCCATTTGCTTTAGCTATTCTCCGCTCAAGGATAAGTTTCAGAGTCTCTTCTGACATCCATTTTGTTTTTTTCTTCCTTTCTCATCTTTTTAATGACCTCTTGCTTTCTTCATGGATAATGTTCTTGATGTCATCCCATAATTCTTCTGGGTTTTGGTCACTGGTGTTCAATGCATCAAATCTATTCTTTAGATGGTCTCTAAATTCAGGAGGAATATATTTAAGGTCATATTTTGGCTCTCATGGACTTGCTTTAATTGTCTTCAATTTCAAGTTGAATTTGCATATGAGTTGACAGTCTGTTCCACAATCAGCTCCTGGTCTTGTTTTGGCTGAAGATATTGAACTTTTTCATCACCCCTTGCCACAGATGTAGTCAGTCTGATTCCTGTGTGCTCCATCTGATGATGTCCATGTGCATAGCCGTTTGTGTTGTTGAAAAAAGGTATTTGCAATGAATAAGTCGTTGGTCTTGTAAAATTCTATCATGTGGTCTCCAGCGTTATTTCTGTTACCAAGGCCACAATTTTCCTTAACTATGGGCTGCATACAATGACTTCCTTCCAAAGTCTACTGTTTGGAAAAGGGAGACAAAGAGTAACTTTATAATGCAGAAACCTGACAGACATGACCTCAGCCAGGTGATCAAAGTCAACATCAACAGAAATAAGTAACATTGATACCACGTGCCCTTGGTATGGTCTAATGAAAATGGTACTTCCTCTTCATTGTCTTCCTCCCCCAAACCCCTCACCAGGTCTGATCAGGAGAAAAACCAGACAAATCCCAACTGAGGGATGTTCTACAAAATACCTGACAAGGAATCCTCTAGGAGCCCTGGTGATGCAGTGGTTAAAGCACTCAGCTGCTAACCCAAAAGTCGGTGGTTCAAACCCACTAACTGCCCTGCGAGAAAAAATGTGGCAAATGGCTTCTGTAAAGATTACAGCCTTGGAAACCTGGTGGGGCAGTTTTACTCAGTCCTATAGGGTCGCCATGAGTTGGAATTGACTCAACAGCAGTGGGGGTAGTACTCCTCAAAACTGTTAAAACTGATTAAAAACAAGGAAATCTGAGAAACTGTCATAGCCAAGAGGAGCGTAAGGACACATGACAACTAAATGTGGTGTGTCCTGGATGGAATCCTGGGACAGAAAAAAGGGTATTAGGTAAAAGCTAAGGATGTTTGAATAAAGTATGGACTGTAGTTAATAATAATAATGTATCAGTATAGGCTCATTCATCATTACAAATGTCCCTAACCACGTGAGATGGTGGTAATAGAGGAAACTGGGTGTATGGTATATGAAAACTCTCTGTGCAATCTTTGCGATTCTTCTGTGAATCTAAAATTGTCCTAACACTGAAAGTTCATTTTAGAAATTTAGGTTCCAAGGTCCCGCCCCATTCTGCTTTAGATTCTGAAAGTCTGTGGTGGGGCACAGGAGTCTCCATTCCCCCTCCACAGTCAGGATCCCAGATGGTTTGCATGCAGACAACCTGGGCACCACAGACGCTGCTGGCGGTTTGGCTGAGCGGCGCCAGGCTCCAGAAACCTCTGCCCACTCTTTTCGTTGATTAAACAGGCTTTCCTGGACCAGCCACTGGTGCCTGCCACTGTAGCCTGGCCACAGATCGCAGGAGTGAGTCTGAGCTACCCCAGGCAATTTGGGCTCTCTGCCCATCAAAATTCATTATTATAAGAGCTTCCATTTGTTTTAACTGTTAAGTTTCAGAGTGATAAGTTGTGCTGCAATAGATAGCTAATACACCCCTTGCTGGCTACTTGATTCTGACTCACAGCGCCCCTAGAGGATGGAGCGGAACTGTACCACAGGGTTTCCAAGGCTGTCAATCTTTACAGAAGTAAAGGCCAAGCCAAACCCACTGCCGTGGAGTCGATTCTGACTCACAGCGCCCCTAGAGGCCAGAGTGGAACTGCCATATGGTTTCCAAGGTTGTAATCTTGATGGAAGTGGACTGCCACATCTTTCCCCCAGAAGCTGCTGGTGGGTTTGACCTTTTGGTTAGCCCCCGAGTGCTTAACCACTGTGCCACCAGGGCTCCTGATAACCAGTAATACAATAACTAAATCAAAGTCTTTCACTTCCGGAGCTGCAGAGTTTGACTTAGTCTTGAAGGTGGGAGTCCGGCGGTAACAGCAGCGTGAGTGCTCGTTAAACGGGGAGGCCCGTCCGCGTGGTGTGCCCGCTGCACATTTCATTTACATTTTCTCAGGTCGCAGATACATTGGGGGTGTGTGTGGATTTTCCAGCCCATTTTACACATGAGAAAATGAGGCTCCAACAGGGAGTGACTTGTCCAAGGTCACCAGGAAGAAAAAGGAGCCCGATGTAGATGTAGGTTCCCCTGATGCCGCAGGCCCTTCCCTTTACCAAGAGCCCCAAAGGCTTTAAACTACTTCCTCCTCCTTCTCCTCCTCCTCCTCCTCCGCCCAGTCCCAGCGCCTGGCTGAGATGCGGCCCTGCTGTGGACCTCCTGACACCATCTCCTCTGCTCAGAACACAGCGCCTACAGACGAGATCATGTCCCGCTGCCGCCATCCACTGTGCCGCTCTGCTCGCCTTGGCTAACGGCTTGTACTCATCTGACGCCCCAAGCCTACACAGCAGCCTCGATCCCACCTCTTCCCTCTTCCGTGCAACCCATCAACAACGGGCAGAGTCCACCTCTTTCTGGACGCACCCCCAGCCCGGGCCATCTCTCCCTCTTCACTGCTCCGTTCTCCCCCACCCTCCAGCCCAGGCCACTGTCTTTTTTTTTTTTTTTTTAACCTTAGAGCTTCCTACCCACTCTCCACCTCCATTCTTGTCCCCTGCAGCCCACTGAAGACTAAGATCCGCCTGACTGAAGCCATGGTATTTTCAGTCACCTCATATGCATGTGAGAGCTGGACAATGAATAAGGAAGACCAAAGAAGACTTGATGCTTTTGAGTTGTGTTGGTGAAGAATGCTGAGAGTCCCACGGACCACCAGAACGAACAGGTCTGTGCCTGAGGAAGTGCAGCTGGAATGCACCTCAGAAGCGAGAATGGCCAGACTTCGTCTCACCTACTCTGGTCATGTTGTCTACAGGGGCCATTCCCTGGAGAAGGATGTCATGCTTGGTAAGGTGGACGGTCAACAAAAGAGGGGCAGGCCCTCAACGAGATGGACTGGCACAGCGGCTGCAGCGACGGGCTCGGGTGCAGCAGGGATTGTGAGGCCGGCGCACGGGCGGGCAGTGGTTCGTTCTGGTATACACAGGGCCGCTAGAGTCGGAGTCAACTCGACAGGACATAACAACAAACAATAGCCCATCCTCTACAGCTGCCACAGAGCTTTTTTTTTTCAAAAGTACTGCTGTTGTTTGTCAGCTGCCCCTGTGTTGGCCCCCGACTTCTGGAGACCCCGTGCACCATACAGGGAAATGCTGCCCGCTCCTGCCCATCCCCAGGAGCGGAGGTGGACAGGGCCGCTGGGATCCTAGGGCTTTCTGATTTTTCAGAAGTCGATCGCCAGGCCTTTCTTCCTCGTCTGTCTTAGGAAGCACCGCAGAAGCCCGCTCAGATGACAGCGACACACAGGCCCCTGCTGACACACGGGCAGTGGCCGCACAGGGGACCGCGGGCTGGAGTGAGCCTGGGCCCCCACGTGAGAGGCGCGCACGCCCCCGGCGCCCCCGCGCGAGCCCCAGCGAGCAGCTGCTGTCGAGCTTGCTGGAGGGGTGGATGAGCTCCTGCGCCCGGCCCCCACCAGACCAGCCGCTCCCCCAGCGCAGGAAGGCACGCGCCACGCGCCACGCAAAGCCTCGTGGGACTAACAGGCCGCAGGGCTGTCAGAGACAGCTTCGAGAACCCAATTTAATCAAGTTTACAAGCACACGCGTACAAAAACCGCAGCGACCTAGCAACGGACCAGTCACCGGCAGGTGAGGGCGAAGGCCAAGGGCAGGGAGTCCGCCCTGGAGAGGGTGGGCCGATGGGCTGACTCTCCATGTCAGCCTCACCCAACTAACACAACCAAGGCCCCAACCTGAACCCCGAAGCCCGTGCAGATCGAACTTTCTCCCGGCCGCCCGCCCGCCTCCCTGCTCTGGAAGAGGTGGGACGAGAGGGGAGAACAGATGGTGAACAGAGGGAGTGGGCCTGGGGGTGAGGCGGGGAGAGGCGGTGAACAGAGGACAGAGGGATGGGCTCCGGGCACCCCAGGGGGTCTGACAACTCCCTCCTCCCGCCTGCTTGCTGGCTGCGATGTCTGTGGGAGAGGCAAGGGGCTGGAGGGCGCCCCCAGAACCGGGGCGATGTCTCCCCTGAACGGGGCCTGGAGAGCCCGTCGGCCTGGCCTCACCACTGCAGGGGGCCCATGTCAGCCCCCATCTCCTCCTCCTCCTCTTCGTCCTCCTTCAGCTGGAAGGGCTTCTCCGCCCACTGCACCCTGACCGTGGGCCCCACGTGGTCCTGAAGCCGGTGGCGCTTCATGTGGGCGTTCCGACTCTTGATCTTGTCGAACACCCTACAGGGCACCGGCGGGGTCAGCATCAGTGAGGGACAGCGAGTCCCCCAGGGGCCCCCGAAGGGCAGTGACTGACGGGGCCGAGGCTGGCGTCAGTGTGCACCCCCCACAGCAGCGGGGCCCGGTACCTCTCGCACTCTCTGCAGGGGAAGACACCCCGGCTCTCCACGCTCCCTGGCGGCTCAGGGGTCCTCTTGGGGCCTGTGTCGGGGCTGGAGTTGAGGATGGCCTCCGTCCTGTAACTCTTGGTCTTCATCTTTAACTCGGGAGTTGGACGGTGGCTGGGTCTCTCCCGAGGGCTGCAAGTGGCCTGCAGAGAGGGCGAAGGCGATATGAAGGTGCTGACCTCCTCTCTCCTGAGGGACACGGGGATCAGAGGACACCAGTGTCCCCTGCAGGGAAGGCCCTCGTGCGGGAGCACCCGCCCAGCCTCCAACCTGGGTCCTCAGCGGAGCTGGGCTCCAGGCGCCGCCCCCCCCACGGCCGCTACCTTCTCTTGCGTCCTCTCTCCCTCCTCTGGCTCCCTCTTGACCCTCTTCTCCAGCCCCGGAGCTCGGCCACCGTCAAACTTGATCATCTTTTTCCAGATGTAATAATACTCCACACACTGGGCGACTGTCTTTGTCTGGATCTATGAGGGGAAGTGCAAAGCTAGCTGGGAGGACGCCTCACCAGCAGCCGCGGGGGCCTAGCCCCCTACCCACTGGGCCAGCGCCACTCTTTGAAAGCCCTTCCTTGGATGTCTCTCCACTGGTATTTGGTGTCCCCTCCTCCTGTGCCTGCTACAAGGGGCCTAGAATCATAATGTCCCCCTTGGTGGTAACGTATTGGCAGGAAAAGTGGTCAATGTCGGTCGGAGAGGGACGTTCTGAGTGTGCAGTTTGATCCCAGGGCATTCTGACCCCACCATGTGTTCTTCCCTCCCCTAAGAAGGGACCCCACCAAGAACAACTTCTGTAAAATAACAGTAACCAAAGGAACTTGGATAGGCTAACTGCACTGGAAGGAAGAAAATTTCTCAGGACGCTCAGTGGGCTACTGAGCTCACTCCAAATTGTACTTTCTTGATGTGACGTTTTCATCTTTAATAAACTATAACTAAGATATGTGTATTCACTAACTAGGAGTGGAGATGACACATTCTTCACCTGACTGAAAAAATCACCAAAAAAAAAAAAGTCGGACTTCTAGTTCCAGCGAAGATGGGGCAACAGGAACCAGATTTACCCTCTGATTCAAAACAACAAAGAAAAAAACAAAAAAACAGCCATGAAGACAATGGCTGTCAAGACAAGATGGTGGACATCAGGCAAGAGCGGACAGTGAGAGACAGGAAACTCAGGCGCTGAGCTGCCCACTGCCCCGCCCACCGCCCCGCCCACCGCCCCGCCCACCGCCTGGAGAGAGTTCCCAGCCCGGCCCAGGGCGGGGAGTCCAGGAGGAGCCCAGCAGACTCCCTGAGCTGAGACGGAGCAGGGAGTCTGAGGAGATCACGCGGCTCAAGTCCACGGGACTAAATACTACTGCAGGAGAGCACGCTGCACAGAGGGAAAAGCGTTGCACACAGGGTCAGGCAGGGTGCCCGCTCCCACCGACCAGTGTAGACAACCCCGTAACACACAGGCCATTGGGCAGACTACTCAGAAGGGTCCTGTCTTGCTGTGAGCAGTAATTACTTCTGGGAAAAAGCGGCTCTGGCACAATCTAAAGTATCTTAAAAGCAATGCCCTAAAGAATCAAAGTGCTGTCAAGTAACAACTATATCCTAGAAAAAGCTCAAATATTAAAAAATATTCAGTCACAGCAAGCTAAACTTCACAATGTCTAGCATCTAATGAAAAATTACTAGATATGCAAAGAAGCAGGAAAATATGCACCTAATGAGGAGATAGTTCAGTCAATCAAAAGCAACCCAGACTGACAAGGATGCTAGGATTGGCAGGGAAGGACACAGTGTTATTAAAACTGTACACCATATGCTCAAAAAGGTAAGTAAAGACATGGAAAACCTAACAAGACCCAAAGAGAACTTCTAGAGATGAAAATGACCATGTCTGAGATAAGAAACACACTTCTTGTTGCTGTTATGTGCCGTTAAGTTGGACCCGACTCATAGCGACCCCTCCTTGGGTTTCCGAGGCAGTATCACTATGGAAGTAGATTGTCCAACCTTCCTTCCGAGGAGTGGCTGGTGAGTTTGAACCGCCAGCCTTTTGGTTAGTAGTCAAGTGCTTTAGGCACTATGCTACCAGAGCTAGATGGGATTAATAGAAGATTAGACGTTACAGAACAAAGACTAGAGAACTTGGAAGACACGGCAATGGAAACTATCCAAAATAAAACAGAAAAAAAAGAACCAATTTAAAAAAAAAATCATTGAGCAGTGGTATGACTTTGAGCAGCATAATGTACGTGTAATTGGAGTCCTGAAAGGAGAAGAGAGTGACAGAAGAAATATTTGAAGAAATAATGGTCAAATTTTTCAAAATGTAATGAAAACGATAAATCCACAGATTCGAGAAGCTTGGCAATGCTCCCAAGCATAGTAAATACGAAGAAAACTACACCAAAGCACATCATGATCAAATTGTTAAAAACCAGCGATGAAGAGAAATTCCGAAATAACAACCAACCAGAGGGGTAAAAACACATCATACACAGAGAAACAAAGGGGAGGAGACCAGTGGATTCCTTATAGACAAACCCACCATTTCAGTCAGTCTCTCACTGGAAACAAGAGAGGCCTAAGTACTGTGTTGTTGTTGTTGTTGTTACGTGCCATCAAGTTGGACCCGACTCATAGCGACCCCTCCTTGGGTTTCCGAGGCAGTATCACTACAGAAGTAGGATTGCCCAACCTTCCTTACTGTAGAGAAGTATTTTAAAGGTTTGGAAGAAAAAATACTCACCAATTCTATACTAGGAAAAATATCTCTCAAAAAATGAAGGCAAAATAGGCTTTTTCTTAGACATACAAAAGCTGAAGGTATTATTACGAGCAAACCTATGCCACAAGAGACGTTAAAGGAAGTCCTTCAGACAGAAGGAAAATGATATGATGGAAATATGGATTCACACAAAGGAATGAACAACAATGAAAATGGTGACCACAAAGAGATAAGACTCTTTTCATGTTATTTGAGAGCTCTGGTGGTGTAGCTCTCTAAAGATAATTGATTAAACAGAAAGTATAACATGCATTGTGGCATATATAAAATATGTGAAATAAAATCCACGACAGGAGCAGAGAGGTGAAGACAGAAGAAACAGAAATGCCCTATGGTAAGTGTCTCATACTATATGTGACTAATAAGAAATCACTTTATAATAGACTGTGATAAGCAAAGATGTCTACGATCAACTCTACAGCAATTAACAAAATAATGAAACAGAAGTATAGCTAATAACCAATGAAGGAAATAAAATGGAATCATAAAATACTACAAACAAAGAGCAAGACTAAGAATTTAAAACCAACCATCTCCATAATCACATTAAATATAAACAATCTAAACACCTAATTAAAAGGCAAAGGTTTTCATACAGAACAAAAAAGCAACACTCAATTACACACTATCTATAAGAACCCAAATTAAACCCATTGCCATAGAGTCGATTGCTCACAGCGCCCCTAGAGGACAGAGTAGCACTGCCCCATTGGGTTTCCAAGGCTGTCAATTTTTACAGCAGCAAAGCCCAGGCCAAACCCACTGCCACTGAATCACTTCCAACTCACAGCGCCCCTAGAGAACAGAAAAGAACTGCCCCATTCCAAGGCTGTCGATCTTTGTGGAAGCTGACGACAGCCTCATCTTTCTCTCACTGAGCCACTGGTGGGTTCAGACCACTGACCTTTTGGTTAGCAGCTGTATGCTTTAATCACTGTGCCACCAGAGCGCCAATTACCTACAAGAAGGCAGTTTATGTCATTTTGTATATTTCTTTTACGAGAAGGCACTTCAAATATTGTGACAGAAACAGGGTAAAAATAAAGACACTGGAGGAAAGAGATACTAGGATAACTCTAATCAAGAGAGAGCTGGAGTGGCTATATTAGCATCAGGAAAAGTAGATTTCAGAACAAAGAATAATACCAAGGATAATGAAACTCATCTCATGATGTCGAAAGGATCAATTAATCAATAGGACAGAATCATCCTAAATATTTATGCAACTTGGTTGCATTCAAAATGAATGAAGCAACACTGAGAGAACTGCAAAGACAAATACACAAGCACACAATTACAGTGAAGCCTTTAATCCCATTACAAATCATCGACAGAACAAGTAGACAGAAAATCAGTAAGGACATAAAAGACCTGAACCACACTGTCAACTCACCTCAGCTAACTGATGTTTACAGAACACGTCACCTACCAACAGCAGAACACGCTTTGTCCCCAAGTGCTCAGACCATTACCAAGATGGGCCATAAACAAGTGTCAATAGAGGTAAAAGAATTAAAATTATACCAAGTATAATCATAGTGACTGCAACGACATTAAAGTAGAAATCAATAGCAGTAGTAGAAGAAGAACAAAACCAAGCCCACGACAACAGAAGCTCCCTGGAAAATCCCCAAACACTCAGAAAGTGGCTCAGACGTCAAGTCTCTCCAGTGGCTCTACAGAGTAGACACAATGTCAATCAAAATCCCAGCAGGTGTTTTGTAGAAATCAACAAACTAATTCTAAAATTCCTATGTAAATGCAAAAGAATTAGAACAGGCACAATTTCGAAAAAGAAGAACAGAGATGAAGGACTACTGTGTGACTTCAAGGCTTATTTTAGAGCTACCAGTAATTAAGACATGGTGGCACTGGCTCAAAAATAGACAAGCAAATCTACAGAACTGAGTGGCGAATCCAGAAAGAGAGTCACGCATAGTCAATTGATTTTTGACAAAAGCGTAAAGGTCATTTGACAGAAAAAAGACCGTCTTTTCAACAAAAGGTACTAAAAAACCAAAAACAACCAAATTCACTGCCATCGAGTCAGATCCAACTCATAGCAACCCCTTGTTGGGTTTCTGAAGCGGTATCTCTACGGAAGTAGATTACCCCATCTTCCTTCTGAGGAGTGGATGGGTGGTGGGTTTGAACCTCCAGCCTTTTGGTGAGCAGTCAGATGCCTTAGGCACTATG